AGCAGGGGAAATGGGCAACTGTGGAAAGGAGACAGGCATTGTGTGTGCACGGGCATTCATGCTCATTTGTGATTTGTGCACACCATTTGAAACTGAGCTCTACAAAGCTGCCTTTTAACATACCCAGCTCTGCTAAGGTGGCATAGAGCATAGGACGCAGCAGCAACATGCATCCCCTGCATTGGAGATTGCATTTTTCTGTTCAGCAGGATAGTATTAGAGTGGGTATATGCAGATAATCGTTGCTTGTCTCCACTATTAAATTTAAACGCAGTACAGGTTAAAATCATATGCACATATCCCTCAACCAGGCTTAGGGAACTGGGGCACACCTCCTTCCGGTGTGCTCACTGCTCTTGCCCCCAACTGTGAGACCAAGGCTGAAGGCTGCAGTGTCCAATCTACCTGGGACCAACCCCTGCCCTAAATCACCCAGCTGTACATTCTGATCCACCTCGTGAGGGGCACAGGTACCAGGATGGCACCATTCTGCAGACCAGACTCCACAAGAGCATCCAAAAATAGAGACATAGACAGAGACCTTGGGGAAATAAATGTGACTCACTCCTTACTCAAGGCACACACTGTGGAGTGGCCAATAAGGGATTAGAGAGAACTCCCTGCCAACTAAAGGTGAGTTGGACTTTGGGAGGAGCTCTCTACCCTATTCCGAGACTGGCTGGACAAATACAGAACTCCCTAAAGGAAAATTTAAGAAGAGATTCTTCTTGGTTTTGCCTCTTAATCACTTTTGTTAAATAGCAAACTGCCAGACCTCTCAGAGAAAAATGAGAAAATTTTGGAAAGTTTTCTCTGACGACCCTCGTTTTTCACTTGCTGTTTGTCACAGCAGCATCAGTTCCAAGGACTCTGGGACTCTGAGCTGCGGGGAGGGGCTGGCGGCACTCCTGAGAACCACTAAAAGCCACTTTGCACATGCTGTCTGGGGTCCTCCCCTCCACCATCCTTTCTCACTCCCCAGTCCCTTCTGAGAGGCCGAGAATTGTCATCCTGGTACCGCACAGGCGGTGCAGCCAGGCAGCCCCCTGCAAGCACGCCTGCAGTTCTTCATATCTCAACCCCAAAAAGGGATGTCGGGAAAGCCCACAGGCTTCAACACAGGCTGCTCCTGAGCAATCGGCGGCAGGAAACACAGCCTGCTTCCCAGTCACCTGCACTTGCACTGCATCAGTGGAAACCTCAAACCAGTCCATCTCTCAACCCCGGCAGCCTTCAACTGTTGGAGCAGCAGAGCCTCCGAGCTAGAGGGACTGCCTGGGCTCCCCGTCCTCTCTTCAGATATACCTCCATGGTGTCAATAAAACACACACGAGTGTATGTGTGCACCAATGCCCAGACACACACTCACACACACACACTCACACACACACACACACACTCACACACACACTCACACACTCACACACACTCACACACATACTCACACACTCACACACACTCACACACACACACACTCACACACACTCACACACATACTCACACACTCACACACACACATACTCACACACACATACACACACTCACACACACACTCACACTCACACACTCACACTCACACACACACTCACACACACACATTCACACACTCACACACACACACATACTCACACACTCACACACTCACACACACACACACACACACTCACACACACACACACACCACCCCCATCTGTCTTCAAGGACCAGGACCAGAGGAGAAGCGGAGGGGGCAGCAGGATGGGATTGCCCCAGATCAATGGATATTTGAAACCCAAACACATGGCCCAGGACCCACACCGCATGTGTTAATTACCACACATGTGCCCATAAAGGAGTCCGTTAAATGCAAGGGGTACAAAGAACAGAGGGAAGAGGGGACATTCCAGGGGATTAAGTAAATAGTCTCAAGTTGTGACCCTCCTCCCCTCCTTGAGCACGTGCATCTGGGGAAGATAACAGTGCCCCCTCCCCCACTTCTTCCCTCGGGCCCCACACCTGTGAACCCAGACCCCCCAGCCTGGTCAGGCAGCAGTGACCTGCTGCCGCCTGGCCTCCCTCCCTCATGCTATCTCTTTGGTCTTTCACCCCCAGCTCCCTGCACCCTGCCTTTCTCCTCCTCTCCTTCCAAGGCCTAATTCCTGGCTGGCGACCAGACTCGGAGCGGTTGGTCACACAATGCATCTTTTCATCCTTTCCAGGCAGAGAGAACTGATCCTCCGCAGCCCATTAGTGGGGCATATTCAAGAGGGCAAGAGACTTGGGGGAAGAGAGAAGCTCTCCCATCCCTGCCTCACACCCACATCCCTCGCACCCACATCCCTCACACCCACAGACCCATGGCCGCACCTCCTTTCCAACCAAACCCCTTACGCTCCCAGGGGCCGGGACAAAGTCCTTTGGCTGGCAAGCCCCAACTCTAGAGAGATGCCTTCTGGGAGAAGCCACATGTGGGCATGGGCTCAGACAAGGGGCCTTTGTGTGGTCCCACCTGCGGCCCCGCAGAGCACATTCCATTCTTAAGTGAAGCTGAAAGAGGAACCTCTGCAGGTCGACACAGGATATTACAAATGCCCTCTCACACTCTGTCCCCATTCAAACTCGGCCTTCCTAGGCAGGTGTGACTTCAAGTGGCCTTTCCGACAGGTGGCCCAAACTTGCCTTCTCCATACCCCCATGGCAGACAAAGGAAAGCAGGTCCTGCACCTAAATTGATCCTCCAAGTGGAGGGGAAATGAGACCCCAGGGCAGAGTTCAGATCTCCAGAGGAGAGGGGGACCAAACACACCCCACTCACGTGCCACTTGCCCTGTTCTGTGCCTCCACAGAACCCTGCAGGAGGAAGTAAGGCAAGGAAGCGAAGAACTGGGAACTGATAGTAACTTCTCCCACTAGGTGAGCGATTCTCAACCCTGTGGACCCTTTGGTGGTTGCACATCAGGTAGCCTGCATATCAGATATTTACGTTACCATTCATAACAGTAGCAAAGTTACAGTTATGAAGTAGCAATGAAATAACTTTAGGGTTGGGGGTCTCCCCCACATGAGGAACGGTATGTATTAAAGGATCACAGCATTAGGAAGGTTGAGAACCACTACCCTAGGGGGGAGCTTTATTCTTTGCCTTACCCTGATGCCTCCTCCAGATCTGCTGGCTGACCCTGGTCCTAGGGGACAAAGGGTGTTCACTGCTCTCTCCTGAAATGCCATCTGCAGTCCACCTGCCCTCTCTCAGCTGGCTCAAAAGGTGCCGGGGTGACCACAAGCTATCTGTCATTGTTACCCGTGGAGGGCAAGGCCACAGCCCCTAGGAGAGCCCTTGCTATCTCCCAGGCAGCCGTTCTGGACAGCAGGCTTTATAAGCTTCTCGCCCCTCCCCCCATTCCTTTCAATGGGAAGGATCAGTTCTGATGGGTGGTCAGTTTCACAGGCCTGTCAACAGATTTTCTCAGCCAAGAGGTCCTCAGAAACAACCCAGAAACAAATGCGAGGCTCCTGGGGCATTTCATCCTGCGGCAGACAGAATGAAAGCAGCTCCTATGCCCAAACCCTCTGAGCACATGCCACTGGCAGTCCTGGTGACTTCAGGTCTCTACAGAGACATCCCTACCCCCATGCCCACTGTCCCACCACAGCAGCCCCGGTTGCATCCCCAGCTCTGGGAAGGACCAGGCAAGGTATCTGCTCCCTTCTTCCCACATTCCTTCTTCAGGGGAAGAGAAGCCACCCACCTGTGAGCCCATTGTTTTAGTCAGTGGTGATACCACCTTCCCCTTCTTGGAGGACCACAACGCAGGACAACAGCTCTGATCCTTAACTCCCACCCTCTGTGCAGTGGTAGAAGCCAGTGGCTGCCCTTGCCTCTGTGTGGCACACGGTGAACTGCACACTGGCTCAGAGTACCCTCCCCACTGAGGGACTCTCAGGAGCACGCAGCTTCCAGAGCATAGATGAGATGGGAAGCCCCCACTTCAGCCTGAGGTAGAGGGGAACTTGACAGCACCTGCACATATGACAAAATCGCTGTGTGCACTATCTCAGGAGCAGCAGTTGTGAGCCCTGGGCCTCACTGTCTTCCAAGCTAGAAGGGGCCAGGGCTGCAGGCCAGGGTCCACTAAACAGCCCCCAGACAAATACTAGCTGTATAAAATAGACGAAGCCAACTCAAAGAAAAATGTGGGTCCTTGTTAAAAGGAGAGGGTAAAATTGTCATTAGAAGTTTAAAACAGAAAGCTCTCTACCCCCTCTCTACCAAAGTCTCTCTCTCTCTTCTCTCTCAACTTGCAATAGTAGTGTTTAATTTGCTGTTTAGTGTTCTTCTAGGTTTAAACAAAAGAGTCAAACCCTTAAGCTTGCTATGGAAGCCAAATTGTAAACATCTTACAAACTACGTGATGCTTTGAGATAACAAGGTCTGGCAGCCAACACTCAGAGGACATGTGTCTCCTCGGCCATGTGCACGCCACCACCAAGGCAGCAGACACTCATGGGATATGTGTCTCCTTGGTCCGTGTACACACTACCATCCTCTTGCCATCAAAGCAACATGGTTAAGAATTTAAGGACAAGAAAATTGGCTGCATACCCATGAAGTCAGCCTGGTCTTCAGGAAGAGACTCTAGATGTATGTACTAGAACACACCATCAAGGAAAATGTCAGGAGAGGACACGAGTACCCTACCTTGATCCTCCTCTTCCAATGAATGCTGGATCTGTTGGTAGTTGGCCAACAGAACTTCCCAGAGAGCAGAGATCAATGGGGCGCTCCCATAAGGGTCCCTACCCAGCTCCATGCCCCACACTCTTGCTCCTTCCTCAGAAACAGTGACAGCTGGGTCATCACCACTGTCTGGGCCCTCCTTACCTCTAGTGCTTCAGGGAGGACACTGGAAACGTGAAAAGCGTTTCTTTGTCACCCCAGGCTCCTTCTCTCTCAGCTAAGAACCCCTGCTCACACTGGCTTTCGAAGCAAACGTTTAGACGAAGCATGGAACTCCACTCACCTTTTCTTCCTGAATTGCCCTGGCTCAAGGGCTTGTCGGTGACTGGACCTTGGACGAGAGAGGAAACAGAAGCACAACATTCAGATCGCACTGTGGTTGGTTTCCGTCAAACACTTGGCAAAGCCTGATGTCATGAGCACATGGTCATGTATATATGTATTGTATACACACCGGGGATATTATATACAAAGTTAGTGTGCACATGCATGTCAAGTGGGGTTTGTTTAACGTCAATGTCACTGATAACCCAGACTGTTTTGAGATGAACTATGATTCCCAGGTTCCCTGGAACCAATCTTGACCGGGTTTTTACAAAACTCAACATCCATGTAACTCAAACATTCCAGTGTTTGTCCTCCACTTATACACCCCTGCGCACCTCCTCTCCTCACCAGCTCCGTGCTCTGACCCATATCCAGTCACCAGGGACAACTGGTGAGACCCCCCTCTTACTGAAAATGCCATGATTGACACCCCTTGCTGGTCAGGGCAGGAAATCGGCGATTTTCCATCTGCGTTAAGTAGAAAATTGTTGGCCCAATTGTACTGAATGGGCCAAACAGTCTGAGGCATGGAAACAATTTTCTAGACAAGGCCTGTTCTTCAAGGAGGGGGGCAACCTGTATGCTGGCCAAACGTTTGCCCCATCTCTTCTGCGATGCCGCGTGCCCGCATCATCCAGGACTGGCTCTGTGGCGCCTGCCTTCTCCTTAGAGCCCAAATCAAATGTGCAAAGACAGAACCCACTCCACAGAAAGACCTCTGTGGAGATCCTGCCCATGAGAGGAAAGTGAGAATCCTGACTGTCCTGGCCCACATTACACTCCTTCTCCATGCTCTAGATTTGTGAGGATTCTGTTATCCTGAAGGGGGCTTGTGTCTAGTACATTTGTTTGCTTTAAATAAAGTGTTCCAGGTCATTTGCAAGGAGGACCAAGTCCTGCCCTGCCCCTCCTCGCCCTAACCCAATTAAGGTTTCCAGTTTCTGTGTAAACCACAAATAAAGTAAACTTCCCTTTTGGCCTGTAAATTTTGATCCCTAACATACATTCTTACATACAGTCCTATTGCCTGTACCACTTGCTTTCCTTTTTAAACAGATGGGCCAGGTTTGTTTTTTTTAAAAAAAAAAAAAAAGAGAGAGAGAGAGAACAAATTTTATTTTAAAAATTTAAAAACCAGGGAAAACTTACCATAGATGAAGGGCCTCTGGAACTACATTTTAGCATAATGTTTAATACTTTGCTTGCACTTAAAATTGGGAATAAGTAAAATGCAAGCCCCACACATAGTGGATGGGTTAAAAATGCCTGTTTTGAGGGTGACCTTAAGGAAGTTACTAATGAGGGGGAAACATGGGGCTTGTGTGGATCCATAGCCACAAACACATAAAACTGACCTAACAGCAAACTCTGTAAGCTTACAAAGTTGGGAGCAGAAACGTAATCTTTTCTATGCTACAGATTAACCCAATGGATGGTTATCAAACTTGCCTGATTATCAGAAAGGCTTCATAAGAACAAAGGATGTCAGATCCATTCCAGATCTAGTACCCACTAATCTATACAAGGAGATGCTAGGACACTTGGTTTCTACAGACGACCAGCCAGACACATGGTTCACTGTCAGGACAACCTTCCACTGCTGTGCGGTACAATGTTCAAGGATGGCACAGATGTGGGAGAGAAGCTAATACTCTCCTTGCCTGTGTCCATGACAGACATCACTAATCAATCACCGAAACCTTTGGTGTTGAACTCTCACATAACTTCAAAACCATACCAATAATACACTTCAAGGCCCACCGCAGGCAACAAAGAACAACAAAATCCTAGATGTATGTCATCTCAGATCTAAGGGGCTATAGCCAATACTTAGAAGAAGAATGCTGGACCAGAAACAAAAACTCAAAATAAATAAACATACACTGATAGACACTCTTCACTGAGCCAACTATGGAGAAAGAAGAGTGGAACCTTCTGACCTGGGCTCGTTTCCCACACCGCCCTGCTAAAGGTTTGCCTATAAGATTGAGGGCCCAACCAAGTCTCTCTTCAGCCCTTTCCGTTCCTCCCACCCCTTCCTACGGTACCTGAACATACAGGAGTTTTATTCTGCACAGAAGAACCACTGATGGGCTTCCCGTCCGGGGTGACACACCAGCAGTACCCCGTGTAAGTGTGGCACTGCACCTGTTCAGAAGAGTGGACAAGGAGGAGAGTCGTGAGTCTCGGGTCACACTCAATCATCCCTTGCTGTGTGGCCAAGCATCTGAGCATCAGAAAATCTCCTCCCACCTCCCACTCCCACGTCTGTCCCAGGACATCTCTCCCAGGTGGAACAGACAGGTGGACCCAGCATTGATGTCATGTTTGCTTTATGATCCTTGCGTGCAGCCCACAGCAATTACCTGCTTCTTTCTCATGACTCCAGTTAGCATCTGATAGCCTATGGAGAAAGGTCCACTGTGGTTCCCTTGGGATACATTTCTCCAGTTCCCATACTTTCCCCCCAGAGCTGACATATGCTCTGTATGCCATCCAGCTGTAAAACCGCCCGAGCCGCAAACTAATCTGGCAACTATCTGTGGCAATGTCACCATTAGGGATTGATGGGGCCTTTCTTGAACAAGTAGAGACAAACACTAAGTTTTTTGCTCATAAGTAACACAGTGAGGTAAGCAACATAAGCCTGTCCTGTGAGAACACAGCTCTCCCAAGACAAGCACCGAGCCCCCTTGTGCCTGCAGGATTTTCTGCCAGAAGCCCAGCTTCTAGCACCACGGGGTGATCCTCAAGCCTGTAGGATCAGAGCAGCAGTCTGGGAATGGTTAATTAAAATGAGGCCTTCTTTCACTCTCCCAGAATAGCTTCCGATATCCTCCAACAGCTGTTACCTTACCCACCTTCTCCCATCCTACCCACCGCCCTCTTGCGTCTGTTTTCTCTGCAGAATTACTAACCATCTATCAAGACAGACTACCTTGCATAAAGCTCCTCTGTGGTTCACTTTTGGGCTCGAGATAAAGATTAAACTAAATTCCATGACACTTAAAGGACCCTAACAATCTGTCCCTGCTCATCCTTCTGGTGTCATTTTTACACCCAAAGCCCCACAAACACCCTCCACTTTGGCCACAGTGAGCCCTTTGATATTCCCAAACACAGCCTCATTTCTCTTGGTTCTGAGCCTTTGTTGGGCCCCAACCATTCCGTTTATCTGCAACACCGGCTCAGGCCGCCTCTTCCCAACCTTTTCCTCATCCTTCTGCTCCCCTCCATGATACTCAAAGCCAGTCTTGCTTTCTCCAAGCCCTTCCCATGGCAAGCTAGTGAGCCTGAGCCGCTGTTGATCTGGCAGGTCCATCTTGCCGCTCTAGATTAAAACCTCAACGACTGCAAAGTCATTCTTTCAGAGTCCCCAGAATCTAGTATGATGCTGACATCTACCGCAGGTGACTGATGGATTGAATGAAGGCCTGGACTCCCATATTTCCTCCATTCTCGGTCTCCCATTGACTCTAAAATGCAACATCAATTTAAAAGGCCACACCACATTAAGTGTCTATCTCAAGGATAAGATGTGTGCCCATTGTAAAGATATTAAAATGGGGAGGGGTGTCATTTGGGATCAAGGACATGTTGAAATTGAGGCCAGGCAGTGACTGCGTACAAACTGAGGGGGGAGGGATGGTAAAAGGAGAATGCAGACAGCTTGGTTGGGAGCCAGAAGTTATCACTAAGGCAAAAAAAAAAAAAAAGCTATGGAAAGCTTGTGTGGGTATCAGACACAGTAAGTTCCCCCTGCCAAGTTGTTTCACCCAGAGCCTGTCCACAGGTGTCAGGGTAGAACAAAACAGTCTCTTATTCCTACAGGTAACACGGTTGCTGTCGAATGGAGCACTCGCTCACATCTCTGCAGGGACGTTGTCTAGCGCACGAACCCAAGCCACATTCTGCTCCTTCTTCACCTTATAGCACGATGACACCCGAGATGCTCACTCACCATCAACGTCACAGCCTTGGTAGCACTATCCCAGTGAGATTACTGGTGGAATAGAAAGAAATCAAGACAGGCCAGGGATCAAACCCTCGTCTGGCCCGTTACAGACAAGGTGCATCACCAGTTCTTAGAGCCTCCTCTGTATACTGCGGGCAATGACTGCCTAAGCTGGGGGCCCTGGTGAGGTAGTCTTACACCTGGCACGGGGTGAAGGCTGGAGTGGCCACAGCAGTAATTTTGTTCTCAGTCACGCCAGGAACACCTGCCAGGTGTCTCCCCAAGGGCCAGACCGCCTCCAGTAACCTCCACAGGTGAGGCTGGAAAGTGCCTCTGGAAACTTGGCTTCACTGCAGATCACATAAGCCCTGCAGGGGAGGCTTCCTAGAGCGCATTCCTACCCAGAGGCCGCATTGAAATGGGACTAATGGGATCTGGCTGGCAGCTTCCTCCACTTCGGCCAACAGTCACCTCTGGGGAACTGTCCCAAGGCCTGAGATGCCCAGCTGACTCCCTCCTAAGCACTGGAAGCCCACTGCTGAGGCTCTCACATAAGGGCTGTGCATCAAGCAGCATTCAAGGCCGTGCCTCAGGCCGGATGCTGTGTGTTGCAATATGGTTGAGCATGTGCAGAGTTCCGCCTGAGGTTACTGGGGCAGAACCGGACACATGAATAAAAGGCAAAGCTCAGAGCTGTGTTTCAGGGGACACTATTTGACCTCAGGGCCCAAGGGTCCACAGGCCACATTCTTACTCAGTGTACCCATTGTCTGCCTGTGTGCACATGGGCACAGCTAGCCAGTCCTCTAGCCAGGCCCACAGAACCAAACACAATCCTTTCTCCCCCAGGTCCTCAGCTTTTTCTTCCCACCACACTACAAGGAAAAGACACACACACACACACAAACACACAAACAAACAAAATCACCAAAATCTTCAGGCTGGGAGTTGCTTCCAAATTCCATAACAAGCGAATGAAGAATGCTGCCCCATTCCTTTGAGGTCTGGGGCATAACCCAGCTGTGTTAAAAGGAGGTGGCAGGAGGGAGCAAAATAGGACCCAAGGACTCTAGTGGGGTCTCAGATTGAGGGACTCATTGAGGTAGCTCAGCAAGACCTCTTTGCTGAAGGAACCCTAAGGCAACTGATCACCTATGATTCAAACCGAGAGATTTTAAGTTGCCTTGGAGTGTTTTTCGATGTTTGCAGAACAGAAGCTGCGGGGGGGGGGGGGAGGGGGGAACAGTCTGCAGCTATCCCGTCAGTCTAAGCTCGGATAGCTGTGTGTATTTTAAAGGGGGAGATAATAGTAATAACAGCCATCTCAGTTGTCGGGGAGCTGATGGTGTAATATGAATGAAGGACAGGACCAGTGGAACTTAGCTGTTTCAGGCTGCGTGGTTACAGAGCTTGCCCTGGAAGCACCAAACATGAAGACCAGAGTTCTGAGCCCCAGCACTGGTGTCCATAGGTGGGGAGGGCAGCCCATCTGTAATCCGAGCCCTCTGAAGGCAAAGTCAAGGAATCCCAGGGCAAACCGGCTAGCTAGACTAATTGTATCCGTGAACTCTGGGTTCAACTGAGAGACTCTGCCTTGATGAATAAAATGGAGAAGTGGCCAAAGAAGACTCCCAACTTCAATATCAAATCTACACACACACACACACATACACACACATACACACACACACATACACACACACACACACACACATACACACACACGCGCGCGCGCACAAGCAGGCATATGTGCCTCACACACAGACATAAAAAGAAAAAAATACTTAGTTGTTTATTCTAATATTTAATATATATATGTAAACTACCCATTCATTTTAAAAGGCCAGAACCGAACTGGTGAGAACCAAAGAGCACACTCTGACCAGTGTGTGGGGAATGAGGGATCTGAAATCAGCAAAGTCTGAGGAAGTTTGGGCAGAGAGGAAGTTTACTTTAAATAGAAATAGTTGTTTGATGCATTCAGCCACTCTCTTGGTAAGTCCTTGATAGGAGAATTATTTATGCAAATTTTCAACTCCTTAGTAACATCCCAGGAAGTAAGAATCCTGGTCCAGGGAAACGCATAAGTTCTATTGAACTGCAAGTTAGCTAGACACAATCAACACACAAAGTGTGCCCGGTCTAGCTCCCCTTGCAAATTTATAATTTAACTTAGTAACTAATACTCTGTCTCTTGACCTGTAACGAACAGGATATGCCCAGGCCAAGAGGCATTGACAAGGCCAGTGGCTATTTCTAGTACCTTGTCATAGAGTTGTCAAAACTCAGACTGTCAGAAAATGGCTCCCAGCCCTCTCTAGAGTATCCTGCAGAGGCTGGAGTGTCAGCTGGAGGGTCCTTCTTTGGGGACAAAGTGTACGCCATCCAAAATAAGGCTACTTTCTGCTTCTGCTGCCAGGGTCCTGTTGGATATAACGGGTTCCTCCAGCAACTTTAAAACACTGTGCTCCTAGATAAATAGGTTCCATCTCTGACTCATGTGCTTTAATATCATTGGCAAAAAGTCTTTTTACATAAACAGGCCAGGGGTATACTGCAGTTCAACCTCCACCCAAATGAAGACAAATCTGAAATTATTTTAAGCCTGCGAATCATCAACATTAGTCCAACTCCTGACCACCCAGCGAGAGTGTGGGAGGCCAGCACTTCCAACAAAGGCAAATGAGTGACCAGCGGGCAGAGAAAACACCAGCTCACAAGGACAAGTGGGAGGAGAGTGTGGAGAAAAATAGAGAGGCAGATGGCAACCGACACCCCCAGGTGCCAAGCCCCAAGTGGAAAATACCACCTTCGACTTTGACAACAGCTTGTCAGTCCCTAGTGGTCTCTGCATCTCCTCATTTGGGCCTCAAAGTTACTCTCTTTGGAAAGCCTTTCACGGAAGAATTATTTATGTAAATTTTCTAACTACTAGTAATAGCCCAGGAAATTAGAGTCCTGATATCCCGGTCTTCGTAACATTTCAGAAACCAAGGAACAGGAAAAACCCTCAGAGTTCACCAATCTAACCCAAACATTTTACAAGTGAGGATTCAGAGAGGCCCAAAGATAAAGAGGTGTGGCTCTCATCCCTACTCCAGTCTAGGGGGAGAAGGAGAAAGGAGGTGTTTATAGATGCTGAGGTCTAGGGACTTGAGTCTTTTTTTGCCTTGTTCTTTGCCAGGGAGGCAGA